TCAGGCGAATCGGGACCTGGATGAGCGTCGTCGAGCACTCTGTCGGCAAAAGCGACGTCGTTGCGACCATCACCGTTGGCGGCAGCTTCTCGGATGCAATTGCATGCACGCAAGTGCCAGTGCGCCACGGGCGTTCATGGGGCTGTCGCTAGGCCGGTCGTCGATATGTACTTGTACGGCCATGGGTGAAAGGTCGCTTGCCTGAGCTCTGTTGCATTGTGCGCGATCGAGACGCGCACAGCGCCAATACTACAATGGTTGTTCGTTGCGCTTGTAGGCCACAAGGTGGCCGAGTCCTTCTGGAGTGCTATGGCTCGGCGTCTGTGGGTTGAGCGCGAGTCTCTATTGGGTATCGAACCCTAGTGGCTGTCGTCGGAGAGCTCGGTCGTCCAGGTCGAACGCGAGGTCGGCGTCGCAGCAGCTATGGGAAGAGGGACGCATTGAGCGCAAGCCTTTCTGCCACCAAGAAGATCGCGCGGTCGTATCAACCTATCAACTGGTTGACCTGTGGCTCGGACGCTGAGGCGCCCAATTGCATATTTTGTCTCTGGCGTATCCGGACAAGTTGCAGTCATTTTGGATCGACGAAGATGCCAGTGACGACGACTGACGGCGTGGTGGTGCTGACGCACCGCGGGTCGGGCGCGAGCGCCCACGTGCACCTGTACGGCGCCACGGTTACGTCCTTTGTGCCCAAGGCTGGCGCCGAGGACCTGCTCTTTCTCTCGACGCGCGCCGCCTTGAACGGCTCCAAGCCCATCCGCGGTGGCATCCCGCTCGTCTTCCCGCAGTTTGGCGCTGGCCTCGTGCCCTCGACGCTGCCGTCGCATGGCTTTGCGCGCACGAGCAAATGGTCGCTCGTCGAGTCGGAGGACCTCGAGGCGTCGACGTCGGCCACGTTCGCGCTCTCGACGGCCAAAGGCGAGCTACCCGCATGGCCACACGCCGTGCGCCTTGTGTACATTGTCACGATCGCGCAGCACCAGCTCACGACGGCGCTGCATATCACCAACACGGACACGGATGCGTGGAGCTGCCAGGCGCTCCTGCACACGTACCTGCGTGTCGATGCGCCGCCGTCGCTCACAAACGACGAGCTTCCGGGCGTCCGCGTCCATGGCCTCAAGGGCACGAGCTACCTGAGCAAGGTGTCCAACACGACGCAGATCGAAGACCGTGACCACGTGACGATCGCGTCCGAGACCGACAGCGTGTACACGGACGCGCCCGACACGCTGGTCGTGCAGGCGGGAGTCAGCAACACCGTGCGCATTGAGAAGCGCGCGTCCCTCGTCGGGTCAGGCGCACTGCCGAGCGACGCCGTGGTCTGGAACCCATGGACGGACAAGGCGCACGGTCTCGGAGACTTTGGTGACGAAGAGTACCCGCAAATGCTGTGCGTCGAGCCTGGCGTCGTATCGCGCCTCCAGGCTCTCCGGCCGGCAGAGACCTTCGTGCTCAAGCAAGTGCTCACGCTCGCTGCGTGACTGCATCATCCTTGCGCTCGCACTGCGTATCTCTAATACAACGACATGCATATGTGTGCACAGTCGTTCTGCGTCCTTGCCTTGCACGAGCCCCAGCGACCAGGTGGAAAGGCTGGTGCAAAGACAGCGCGTCTGGATGCGCCGAGTAGCCGCCCGATGATGGGTACTTCTTCAACGCACGCCAGACGACGTGGGACCTGAAGTTGTGAAAGTGGCCTTTCTTCCGACGAGGAATGAACACGGTCCTGCGCTGCCACGCGCTGCTTTGCGAGATCACTGCGTTCCAGCACGGCCTTTTGTTCGACCTGCGCCCGCTCTACCGCGAGTGGACGACGATGACCGATCGATTCGGCAACATTGTGTCGCTACCGCCTCGGTACCTTCCATACGCCATCGCCCGCGAGGTGGCGGCGCACCCGCCCATCTACACGAGCTTCTACTACCTCGGCTTGGACACGCGGCGGCCAGACCCGCGCTTCCTCGTCTTTATGGCCGTCGTCATGGGCGACCTCGACAATATGCTGCGATGGCTGCGCTGCATGGACGCGCCGCCATCGCGTCTTCTCGAGCTCGCCGTGCGCCATGGCCACCTGCACATTCTTGCGCATCTGCATGGTCGTCGCCTCTGTGAGGCGTCGTCTGTGGCGCACATCGCTTTGCTGGACATTGCCGCCGCGAACGGCCATGTGGCGATCGTCGACTACCTCCATCGCCATGCGCTGGGCACTTGCAGCGTCGAGGCGATGGACGCTGCAGCGACACACGGTCACCTCGACGTTGTGCGCTACCTGAGTTTGCACCGGCACGAAGCGTGCACGGTCGCGGCCTTTGAAGGCGCTGCGTGTCGAGGCCACGTCCACATCGTCCAGTACCTCTTGCTGTTCTATCCCATCCGGCCTCCTCGGTTTGCGTGGGACGTGGCGTGCGCCAACGGCCATGACGACGTCGCCGAGCTACTGCGCCCGTACATGTCGCTTCCGTAGACCAGAAAACGAACGAGACAAAGTTATCGTTGGAGTCGACACGAGATGAGGGTGGTGGGATGGACCCTACGTAGGATGATGGATGCACGAAGACGCGCCTGCAATCGGCACGGAGGAGGCAGCAGATACACACTAAGACGTCTACACCGCCGCCGTAAAGCCGCGGGGCGACCCGTCGAGCCACTGGCTCAGCTGCGGGCTCGTTAGCGATGGTGTCATTGAGTGGTCAAAGCCAAACGTATCGTGCTGGAGGCCAAGCGCCACATCGATCGTCGGCGGCTTGAACGGCTTCTTGACGAGCGGTGCGGGCGCGCTGGACGCATTGGGCGTCGACGATGGCGGGAACGCCACCGACACGTTGACGTCGGTGCGGAGACGGAGCGGCGGCACCGGGTCCATGTAAAAGTCTGAGTCCATCTCGGCGGGAAAGTCAATGTCGTCGAAGGAAAACTTGGGTGTCGCTTTGAGCATCGCGGCCATGAGCGGCGATCGCCGCAGACTGTAGAGCGACGGCGTCGCCTGGCCCGACGCCGGACCGTGGGAGCCGAGCGGCGTCGTCGAATTGAAGAACTCGGCCACTTGCTACACCAGGAAACGATTCTTAGGTGGCCGAGTGCATCGACATGTCAAGATATCGCACCTCGTTAAAGTCAAACTCGAGCGTCTCGAGCGGGTGGAACGGACTGTCCATGTCCTGGAACGTCGCGTCGCCAAACTGGTCTTGGAGCAGAAGGCTTTCGTACGCGCCGGCCCGCTCGCGCGACGGTGGCCCCATCGCATGAGACGGCGTCGACCCTCGCTTCTTTCGCTTCGCATTGGCGCACTTGGCCATCGGGTCCTCGGACGCGCTGCTGAGCAGCGTCAGAAGGAGCTGTGTGTGGTGCAGCCGCCGGGGTGTGGACGGCATGAACATGCCGCCGTCGCTATGCGCCCCCGTGCAGACGCGCAAGTCTTTTCGCTTTCGCTTCGAGGACAAGCTTCGGTGCTTGTGCGGCGACGCGTTCGCTGGGTGGAGCGGCGAGTCCGTGCCTGTGTTTGGGTGCTCCTTGTTGAACAAAAGCACGTTGTAGCAGTCCCGGAACGTCGACGCTTGCTTGGGCGAGAGTCCTTGCACGAGGTTGTGCGCTCTACGGCGGCATGAGGCGAAGGCACCGAAAGGCTATTGCTGTACTTGGTCATTTGCAGACTCGGCGCGTGGACGTCGTGTGCACCACCGTCGTCGGTCGGAATGACTACGTGGCGCGGAAGCCGCGGGTGCATGCCCGTCAGTGGCGGGGCCGGAGGCGCGGCCTTGTTGACCTGCTTGGCGATGCGCCGCATCGTGCGGCGCATGGACGAGTACCAATGGTTCTTGATCGCATTGTCGGTTCTGATACAGGGTCATGAGCACGCGCTTTTCCACGCATGCTTCGCACCTTCCGGGTAGGAGCTTGGAGATCTCGGCCCACTTGTTGCCCAGGCGGTTCTGTGCGTCTTCAATGATGCTTTCTTCTTCGGTCGTCCACGGATCCTTCTTGATGGACGGGTCGAGGTGGTTGAGCCATCTACGTGCTTTCATGTTGAAGCGGTGGCCGCCTTCCAGTGTAGTACCGTGTCCGGCACTGCTTGCCCGTGCGCTCGTTCCCATAGTTTTCGTTGTTGAGGTGGTCCGAGATGACGGACCAGCGCTTGGTGCCATACTCGTCGACGAGGCGGATGATGCTCTCGTCTTCCTTGCGCGTCCACGCCCGGCGCTCGTACGCCGAGCCCGACGCCGTCTTCTTCGTACTGCTGTCCGACTCGTCGTGCATGTTGCAAGTTGCCAAATGCGCAAAGGTCGCGTCCAAAACTCACTTGGACTTTGTATTGCTTTGCGTGAAGGGACACATCAGGATCGGCGATCCGGATACGCCCACCCACATCAGCGACACCGCATCCGGATACGCCGCGATCTTCGACATCGACCTCGGAGGAGGAGGAGGAGGAGGGTCCCTGCAATCGGTCGGCGCGTCGATATCCTTCCGTACGAGCTTGTTTGTTGGTAGAAGGAAGAAAGCAGCGCCGAGCGGTCGACCATGCACATCAGTTGCAGGTTCCGGGCAAGAGACACGGACGTTTCAACGGCCGGCCGACGACCCATGCTGTTCTACCGCACGGCGCCGGAAGATCTTCTGCGCCTTCTCGAGCAGCATGGAAGGGACGTGTTGGCCGTGCAGCGCGTGCTCGCCGAGCTCCACCGGTGCATTCGCGACGACGCGACCAGCCGCGAGCGCATGGCGCAGTGCCATGTCGTGCGTCGCCTCGCCGCGCACGTCGAGCCCCATGCGACACAGCCCGGGTTTCTCGTGCAGCTGAGTATCTTGCTCAACGCACTCGTGATATACGACGGTTTGGCATCTCGCCCAAGTGACATTGACACGTAAACTGGGTAGAGCACTCGACCGCCGAGCTGCAGTCGGCCATCGTGCGCCATGGCTTGTGGCGCCTCGTGCTCCGTGGCATGCAAGCCGCCGCCGTCGACGACGAGCTTCAAGTCCACGGCTGTGCGCTCACGTCGACGCTTTGCTACGACTACCCGCGGGCCCCCCACGGTGAGCAAAGGACATCTGTACATTGGCCACGTTGTAGTAGAGGAAAACCAAGGGGAAATGGTGCAAAGTGGCGCTCTGGATGCCATTCGAACGCTGCTTCTCGCGGAACGTACGCCGAGTGCGACGTACACGCGTGCGATCAAAGCCATTGGAGATCTCTGCTACAAGAATGGTACGCGTCGTTGGTATCCATCCAACACGTCATCATAGTCTTGCGCACAGTTGGCAACGCGGAGATTGTGCTCAAGATGAACCTCTTCCCGCTGCTAGCGCACGGCCTTGACGAACATGCCAAGAACGCGGACGTGCTGAACGCAATCGCTGCCGTCTTTTTTGTGGTTCTGGTCGCCCACCCTCGTATAACGCACTCGGTCGCATGGGCGGTCATTACCGACGACGATAGATGGAGCCAAGTGCGGGATACTGCAGTGCGGCGTCCTCGAGCGCGCGTTGCACTGCATGCAAAGCTGTGACCTGCTCGTCTCGACAGCGTACCATATCCTGCGCCTTCTCGAAGCCACCTTGCGCGAAGACGGTACTTGGCTTTGCTATAATTAGCGTCACCAGTGGGCGTAGAAGCGGCCAAAGATCTGCTCATGCGTCATGATGGTGCCAATGTCATCGTTACCGCGGTCGAGCAGCTCCGCGAGAAGCACAAAGACGGCATCGGCCATCTCGTGTTCCTATCTGCCGTCATCTTCTCGAGCCTGTCGCTGCACGTGCCAGCAACTGGCGGTGCCATGCTGAGTTCAAGTAGGCGACAATTCTGAGGGGTCGTGGCGTAGGCGGCCGGCCAGCGCCCCAAGCGACGCGCATCCAAGGCCTCATGCAGCACGGCGTTCACACGTTTGCGGTCTCGTCGCTCTCGAGCTTTTCCAAAGAAACCTTTGTCTTGGAGCAGTGTCTGTGCCTCATCGAGCGGCTCGTGATCACCAGTTCTGCCATTGTGAGATGACGTGGCACGCTCTTACGCCGAGTGTTGCGTAGATCACTATCGGCTCATGCTAGTGCGGGCGGGCGCGGCGCGTAACGTGCGCTACATCTACAACACCAAGCAACAACAGCAGCACGAAGGAGTGCTCGAACTCTGCGAGCGCGTCATGAGTACGCTGGACAAAGAGACGTCCAATAATTGACGCGTCAAACTTCAACGTGAATTTTAATCGAATTGCTTTTTAAAAGTTTCTTTCGGATTGCGGGTTGAAATTCGGATCGGGCCTCAAATGAGGCAGATTCGAAACACGTAGCATGGAAGTCTGGTGGGAGACCAAGGAAGATAGCTTGTGGCTGGTCTACTACGTGGTCTTCATCGCGCCGCTCCATGCGTTCCTCATCGGCTACCTCGAGCGCCAAGGGAAGCAGGTCACGCCGTCCAAGGCCATCATCTGGATCGCGTCGCTCGCGCTCATGTCGACCTTCCTGCCGCTGGTACATGGCACAGGTCGCCGGCGCGCTCACATATGGACCTCTAGCTCGTGCGCAAGAAGCTGTCCGAGTCCAGCCCGTACCGCATTCTCAGCGTACGGCTGGTATCGCCATGGCTCGATTGACGCGACGTGCGTAGGTCACCCGGTACGGCCCCAAGTACGCCTGGGCGCAGCAGTACAGCCACTTGAAGCAGTACTTTACGAGCGGCCAAATGAGCCCCGACGTTTGGGCTGTCTTTGAAGGCGCCTACGACGTACGATACCATTGCTCTCATGGACGACGACTCATGATTGGCAGAAACTCTATGACGATGGCACGCGCCGGGCGTTTGAGGTGTGGGGGCCCAACTTTGAGACACTCCTGAGTGCTCACATGCCGTACAACCTCGCGCTCTACTACGTCCTCTGGCTCGTTGGAATGTGCGTGTTTCGCACTCTCGACGCAAGGGCTCATCGTCGCGATATGCTAGCTATGCGACGACGGTCGGCCGCAAGTACGCGCCAGCGCGGGACCTCGCGATCGCCGGTCTCTTGGTGGTAATACGTGCCTACGTTCGTCTTGCGCAGGATCTTATATCTTAGGTCCTCGTGTTTGAGATGAGCATTCGCTTCATGGGCTACAACCCGCTGTTTATGTTCCTTCCGCAGACGACACCGAACGAGATGATTTTGCTCGTTCACGCGTACGCTTCGAGAAGATTGCGGTCTTCTACTAAGACGTATGATGGCTTAGGCTCTTTCCTGCATGGGTGCTTGGCTACGCGTCCTTCAAGCGCATCTTTTTTGTCGATATGCTCCAACACAAAAACGGTTGCCTCCAGTATGCACTCGCCAACAACCAAGTACGACGACCGACACCCCGTCTTGCAACACCGTATAAACACGACTTGGCTGTAGAAGACCAAGAAGGCGCTTGACAGCATGCGCGATGAGATCCGCAAGATGAAGGAGGCGAAGGAGGCGACGACGACGTTGCAGGCGTAACGCAACCGCCTCGACGACCTCAGATGCATGCCAACGACATGACAACCACAGATATTATTGTGTGAAAGAAAGCCTCCGTTGGCAAGAACCCGCCACTGGCTTGTGCGCGCTTCTCCTCTTCTCCTCCGACATCCAAACAGCGCTATCAGGGCTAGGGTCTCGCTTTTCCAACTCGGAAAAAAGCCCATGTATCGATCACGCTTGAAATGCAGGCACCCAACTGTCATCATCTTCTTGGCGCACCGCGTCAAGCGACATCACCGATGCGGCCATCTTGGCGTACAAAAGCAGTCGAGGCAGTACTGGCCCGCGCACGCCTTTTCGTCGAGGGGTAGCCTTTCCCAATGGAAAAAGCTAGGCGATGTGTAGGAAGCAGCGCATATTTCGATCGCGATTGAAATGCAAGCACCTCGCTGGAACCCTTCGATGAACGCGGCCTCCAAGGCCAAGCCAGGACCGACCACGTCGGCCCGCACGACGCGCGCCGCCTCGACTGCCAGCACACGCACCACCTCGACTGTCTCCACGCGCACGCAGCGCGCGGCAACAGCGCCAGAAGCGATGGTCGTCCCGGAACGCCACGCCCGTGAGCTCGCTGCCTTGCGCACCGAGTACGAAGAACGCCTCGAGAGCCTCCGCACCGACTGCCAGATGCAGTTGGCGGCGTTGGCCACAACCTTGCGTGCCGAGCACCAAGCCAACATTGCCGCTGTGACGACGACGCTGCAGCAAGAGCACCAAGAAGCCTCGGCCGCCTCGGACGCCAACCTGCGCCAAGAGCACTCGATCAAAGAGACGGCTCTCATCTCCGAGCTTACAAAGCTGGCCGCACAGCGCGACGCCAGCCTCGAGCGCGCTCAGGTCCTGTTCACTCGATCGGAGGCCTGCGCTGCGACCTCCACACGCTCGCCAAGCTCAACCACCGTCTCCAGACCACGATCGCCACGACGACCGCAGAGGCTGCCACGACACAAAAATCGCTGACGACGCGCG